AAAAAAAAAAAAAAAAGATCCCAATGATCAATGTAACTGTATTTTATACCTAAAATGTACCAATAAAGTTAATGGGGGCGGGGGGAAGAAAATGTGGTATTTACACAAAATGGAGCATTACTCTGCCATAAAGAAGGATAAACTTGAATCATTTGTAGGAAAATGGATGCGCTTTGAGACAATACTGTAAGGTGAAATAAATCAGACATAGCTTAAATATCACATAACTTCTCTTATATGAGAAACCCAAAGTATATATAATTTTAAAAACAAAATGAAAAACAGAAAACAGGAAGATAGATTTTTTGCAAATGAAGAAGGTATCTAGAGACAGAAGAACCTGGAGGAAGGAGAGAGAAAGGGGAATAAGAAGAATCTCAATAAGTTAAGTACATGTACCTACTTTCTAAGATGAATGTAAACATTACGTACTACAAACATGTATAAATAAATAATAATAATACAGTACAGAAAAGTAGACAGGTGAATTACCCCAAGCCAGGTCTTTAAAAAAAAAGGCTCACATTTAGTTAAGTCTTAAAATAGGGCCAGGGATGTAGCTCAGCACCACCACACTTGCCTGACAAGTGCAAGGTCCTGAGTTTAATTCTTGGTACCAGGAAAAAAAAAGCCTTAAGACAACCAACCAATTGCAATCTATATTGAAATCCTAATTCAAACTATAAAAAGAAATCATGTGAAAATCGATCAAAAGTTTGGACAATGATTGCATAGTTTGAGATGAAGAAATAACTGTGAAGTTTTAAAACTTAAAGCTCTGTGCAATGGAGGGAAAAGATCTCCTGTAGCCTGCTACTGTGCTTTATGAAAGATCTTGATAGAGACCCTCAATACCTATGTGTTGTGGCTTGTGTCTAGAAGTTCCCAAAGCCTCAGTGGTCACAGGTGGGCCTTTTCAGAGGTGGCTGGATCCCAGTGTGTGATGCTGGGATCAAAGGTGTGTGATCACTAAATTAGTTTACTGATTGGTCTGGGATAGTTCTGGGTGTGGATCATGGGAAGGCCCACCCTGGGTGTGAGTGCGACCTGCCCTAAGGGTATAAAGCCTGGATAGAATATAAGGGACATGAAGAGGGCTGCTATTGCTGCTTGTCGCTTGGTGCCTTCTGCCTTCTGCCTTCTGCCTGCCCTGCTTTATAATGGTCTGTTTCTCCTCTGTGATCCCCCTGTCATGCCAACCTGCCTTGAAGCCAGTCAACTATGAACTGAAACCTCTATAAACTGTGACCTACACTGAATTCAATCCCCGGTACCCTCCCCGCCCCCCAAAAAACTGTGACCTACAATAAATCTTTCCTCTTAACTTTGGGTGTCAGGTATTTTGTCTCAGCAATAAGGAAAGTAACCAAGACACTGTAGAAAGAAAAGGAACTTGGCCAGTAGTTTTAAATGAACAAGAAAAGCTCCATGAATAAATGTAAAATAATATAATGTCTGAGACTTGCTTCAAAATATCCCAAAAAGCCAGGTATGGTGGTACACACTTGTAATCCCAGCACTCAGTAGGCTGAGGTTGGATTGCTGCCAGTTTGAGCCCAGCCTAAACTACATAGTGAGACTGTCTCAAAAAACAAACCAAAAAAAAAAAAAAAAAAGAACAAAACAAAGCAAAAAATATGCCAAAAAAACCAAAATTGCAGGAATCATGAATAGATTGATAAGATAATCACAGGCTGGTGATTGCTGAAGCCAGGTGACAAGGATATGAGAGTTTACTTTGCTTCTAGTCTTTGTACTTTCTTTTCTATGACTGAAATGTTTTATAATAAAATGTTTAAAACATCATATGATTCTACTTAGGGACATATATTAGACTAGAGTTTTAACCTTTATTTCCTTTAAATCTTTTTACAGACATATCATAAGTCTGGTCCCAATAAAAACTATTTCATCTACTAGAAGATTATATAGAAAAGCAAAAATATACTGTTCTAAACACACAATTAGTTACATGCCTACTCAACTTTTAAAAAGAGCTCAAACAAAAAAGAAAAGTCTTGGGTAAAAGCCATGTGACCCCGTGTGTCAGTATATTCAACGCAGTCCTGGCTGATGAGAACTTCCCAGCTGGGAATCTTAAAGGCCCAACTTTCAGAGACAACTCGAGGCAGTGAAAAATCTCCCTAACATCTTCCTCAAACACAGGCGAAAGTAACAGTCATTTGCAAACAAGCTTCAGCAAAGCCAGTGTCTACACAAGACTTGGATATTGCAATATGGGTCATGACCCTATGTCATATATTTACTACTTTTCTTTTCTTTTGGTTTTTTTGAGGCAGGGTCTCCCTCTGTAGTTCAGGCTGGCCCCGAACTCACTATGTAGTCCAGGCTGGCCTCGAACTCACAGCAATCCTCCTGCCTCAGCCTCCCAAGTGCTGGGATTATAGGTGTGCATCACCACCCCTGACTTACTACTTTTCTAGTAGTAACTTTTCTAACTTTTCTTCTCACCTCCATGTAAACATTTAAAACATACAGTTTTACATTTTTCAATTTTTGTAGAAGAAGATGTTTTCACACTTAAAATATGCTAGATAGAGGCCGGGGATTTAGCTCAGTGGTTCCGGTGCCTGCCTTGCAAGTTCAAGGTCCCAAGTTCGATCCCCGGTATGAAAAAAAAAAAAAGCTAGATAACTGTAAATGTTTTCTTAATGAGTTTTAAAACAGATACAATTTTAAGGCTTTCATTTCTGAAGTTCCTATACACACCAAGTTATTTAAACTCTTCCTCAATGTATGAGAACTAAGGTGATCAGAGGAAACTGTTGACCTAAAAATCAACTAGAAAGAGATAGAGAAACTCAAGTCTCCACAATTCATAAATTCCCTACCAGAAAGTGAAAAGAAAAGGATGATTACCTTTGTTAAATCTGTCACAACTTCAGAGAGCTTAGGGTAGCGTCTTTCAAGAGGCTCTTTTTCCTGGATTTCAGGCAATTGTACTCCAGCAAACACAGGATTTTTATAAAACAGCTCCTGGTGTCTTGGAATTAAATTACCTAGAAGTGAAAGCAGCACACATCTCTACTGTTGTACATGAGAGGAGCAAGGTGGTGGGGAGGGAAGGGAATGGTGGACACGGTGAATGGAGTGTGGGACCTGCACCAAAGACACTACAATGGGCCATGGCAGTCGGTACGGTGGTTTTGCGGTAAGCTGACTCAAGGAACTTAACATTGCTATCTCACTTAGAAAAGTAGAATTTATAGAGAACATAGGAAAAGAGCATCTTACAACCTTATGGATCTAAGCACCCGCATTTCATGTCTAACTACAAACTATGATGAGTTGATCAAAACGATGACAATATAGTCATGGGGACAGAGTCTAGGCCATCAGCTCCTCCCTCTAAGAACTTAATTTTTGGTCAACTGATTTTGTGTCTTTGTCTAAGGTCAGATTTGAGCACCAGATCTTTTTTCTCAATTTTAATATGTAATGTATTAAGAAATATATATGAAAATATATGTGTGTAAGAAATCACTTATAGCTTATTGAATTTCTAGCTTGGAAACTTAAAAATCAATCAGTGAAATTACCCATGTACTCCCTATTTTCATCTTCCAAGCTCTTATCTCTGACCATGAAGTTGGTGTTTCAACACAACATACGTGAGACTGATATTCTAGCTGTGAACTTCTGCCCAAAGCACTAGGAAGTCAAGTCTGGGGCAAGATTAACCCACTGGAAGTCTCCCAATCTCCCCTCCTGATGGTGAGAATGAGGCTAACAGCTATATTTCACCCAATGCTGTGTGTGTGTGTGTGTGTGTTGTTTTAATTGTTCTCTTCCTTCACTTATATATGTCATATTTAATATACTGTACCAATGGCTTTTAAGAAATCAGCATAAAGAAAAAAAAAACCCTGAACAATTTAAGACTCAATTATAATCTTACCTAAACACATCATAATATGGTAGAGCTGGTCAATGTCAGAATCTCCCGGAAACAGTGGCTCCCCTGTGAGCATCTCGGTTACCAAACAACCGATGGCCCAGACATCAACAGCCCTGGAGAGAAGCCACCTGGTTAGACCTCTGGATCCACATACAACTGGATGGCTACACAGGCTCTGTCCTATGTATCACTGCTTGATGCTGTTCCTACTAAGAGGATCAGTGCACCAACAATTACCCCCCCCCCAGAAGGACACTGTTCTGTAAGAGTTCTAACTCTCCGTCTTAACAAGTGGGGATTCCAGAAACTGCAATCATGTGACATATGAGGCAAAGGTTTCTGAAAAGACAAAATCGATTTTGTGCATACTTCGTCCTGGAAATAAGACTCAGACTTCCATTCAGAGCCTAGGCCCTACGTCCACATGATTCTACCAAAGCTGACAGACTAATATAGGTATGTTGAAAATGAACACCAGAAGACAGGAGGTGGCTGCTGACACAAAGACAGAAACAGGAACTGAAAGCTAATAGGGAGAACATTTTTTTAATCTTAAAAATCAATCACAAGGGCTAGAGATATTGCTCAGTCACAGAGCGCTTGTTTAGCATGTGCAAGGTCTTGGGTCCAATCCCAGCACTGAAAAAAAAAAAAAAAAAATCACTTACAAGAACCAAAGAATATGCTAGCATCATTTAGCATAAGAACAACAACCTTGAAGTAGCATGAGGTCATTTCTGAATTATAAAATAGCACAAAAATTATAGCAAAGCAGTAAATAGAGAACTCAAAGTATTTAAGAAAATATTAAAGGATGTTTAATGTACTCAGAAAACAGAAGTTGTAAAAAATATTTTAAAAAGATTTCTAACAAAAGCAATAAAGGCTGAGGCAGAAGCAGCACTGCAAGTTCAAGGTCAGCCTACATAGTGAGAACCTGTCTTAACAAAAAAAAGAAAAAGAAAAAGAAAAATACTCAGGCATGGTGGCCCATGCCTGTAATCCCAGCACTCTGGAGGCAGAGGCAGGAAGATCATAGCCAGTTCAAGGCCAGTCTGGGCTACATAGTGAGTTTAAGGCTAGCCCGGAGTACATAGTGAGATCCTGTCTCAAGAAGCCAAAAACGAACAAACAAAACATAAAAAACAAAGCAGTAAAGGTTAGTCTTCTTTGAAGAATTGGGGGTGTGCTAAGTAGCAGACTGGCCCAGGCTGTGTTAGGGCTTTACATGCCATCCTCACAACCACAAGAGGAAGGGGGTGGGTTTGGGGTGGAGAAGAGAGAAGAGAATTCACTTCTGAAGACTTCTTTTTTGAGACAGGGTCTTGCTATGCATTCCAGATCGACCTCACATTCATGATCCTCCCTGCCTCAGCCTCTCAACTGCTGGGATTACAAGTGTGTGCCACTATGCCTGGCTTGACAATTTAGGTTTAAAAAATATTTCCCTCAATTATCTTTCACCCCTTTCCCTTGTACATGCCAGGCTAGCTCTCTACAGTGAGGGAGGTGAGTGACAGCCCTCTTCTCATTTTATTACCCCACACGCACACACACATTCCAGACCTCCTCTCAGCATCAGCGGATGGTTCTGCTCCTGCATGCAGGTGCCTTACTTGCCATACTTGACATCTCCGACCAGCAGCTCAGGTGCCCTGTACCACCGGGTGGCCACATAGTCAGTGTAGGCCTCCCCGGGAGCAGCCAATGTTCGCGCAAACCCAAAGTCACACAGCTTCACCACACCAGCCTGGGACACCAAAATGTTCTCTGGCTTTATGTCCCTGTGTATGATCTAAGACAAAAAGAGGACAGCAAGGTTAGACAGAGAGGATCTGGGGCACTGCAATGAGAGGGATGTCATTTCTGACCTTCTAAAGAATACAAAGAAACACATAAACGGCGCTGGCTTTAAATAACCTGGGGCCCAGCTGGGCAAGAAACCACTTAGAGGTAGGAATCAAATGCACATTAATTAACTAATCAACTGTCCAGTTAATGACTACTGTCAGGCTCTCCCTAAAGACGGGGCGGTCAAGGACATGATGTAAGAATGGCATGGGCTCTCCGCAGTACTTAATGCTAAGTGTGACCTGGACAGATGGAGACCGAGGAGGAGCCAGGTGGACTAGCAAGGAGAAGAGGACACAGACGGGATTGGGTCGAGGACTGGGGCTGTATCTCCTAACTGGAAGCTGAGAGAGGGGACATGGATGTGCAAGACCAATGTGCTGGTTCTATGACCCAACTGCAGCTAACCACTAAAAGTCCATTTGAAGGGACAAGTGGTCAGGATTGCTTCAGGAAGAACTCTGGGAGCAGAGGCAAGATGCGGAGGTGGAGACAGGATCAAATTCTATACCAGGAAAATCAAATTATTAGGCCTAATCCTGTGATATAAATGTATTTTGAGAATTTTAACCATTTGTTTTCAACCCTTTTAAAAGGCCAGCATGGCAAATGGCCAGCTGTCACTGCAGAGCAACATTTGTTCCCTTAGGCGTCAGTGGTGGGGACACAGGTCTAGGCCAGGCCAACCGTGCAACAGAAACACCAGCAGACTCAGAGGCGGGGAAGTGGTGCTTGTCTTGGACTTTCAGTACAGCCACAGCAAGTCTTTCTGGATCTGTCCCCTCACTCCCCAAACAAGGAGCCCGAAGTACAGGACTGTTGTGTTCGATCTCAACCACAATGAAACCTATGCTGGACCAAGACAGAATGAGCAGAACTTTACCATGGTTCTCTTTACACACTCGAGTGGCCAGAGAACTTTTATAAGAAGGACGGGGCCTGACATGGGTCTTCAACACCAGTTATGACCTCAGTAAATTAATTATACCCAGTAACTCCAGCAAAAAACTTTAGGGTTCTACAGATACTTCTTAATTCCTAGACTATTTAAGTCAAACTTGAATTAACAGCCTTAATTTTTTTTTAAGTATGTTTACTCAGCCTGGCTCACAAAGGATTAAATAAGAGTTTTAATTTTTTTTATATTAAAGTGTTCACACATGTAGATACATGCATCAATAGATAGCATGTTTAAGAATAAATGTTTTCGGGCCAGGATTTAGCTCAGTGGTTCCACCACCTGCCTCGCAAGCGCAAGGTCCCAAGTTCAATCCCCGGTACCAAAAAAAAAGAATAAATGTTTTTCTTTTCTTAAATTCAGATATTTCAACCTTGGGTGTATGTGTCTATGTGTGTGGCTTGCATGCTTATTTATTCCCTCTCTCACCATAATTTCGTTAACTGCCAAGAAAGCAAGATCTTAGGATATGCTTTTAATAGCAGTAATGATACATAACACTTGGCCATTTATGTCTCTGTCTCAGATACTATTCTACGTATTTTACATATTTTGTTTTGTCCACACAATAACCACAGATGCTATTATTATTTCTACTGCACAGAGGACTGGGAGCGAGGATGGAGAAGAGGAGCTAGAGGTGTGGGGAGAAGGGCTATGAGATGGCAATGTAGAAGCATTTGAAAGTGGATGGACTAAGTAGCTGCCCGGCAATGCACTAAAGCTCCCTCAGTGTAAGTGGTCATAAATTAGAGAGAGCTCAGTCCTCTCCCCATAACAATCCGCACTGCACATAGTTTAAACAGGTACACGCATGATCTGGAGTATACACAGGGAGCCACCGGATAGTAACATCTCCTGCCTTAAAGACAGAACAGCATGCATGCTAACAACCTTCCCTCGATGCTGCTGATTCATATCATCCATAGAAAGGCAGAATATGTCATTAAATGTGGGCTGATCAGCCTCAAGAGTGTAACAAATAAAGGACACGGGGTGGATGCAGGCAGAATGCAGTCCAATGCTCCTTAAGAGCAAGGCGGTGCTGCTTCGTGGAAATTGGGACCAGTGCAGAGGTGCACAGGCTGTAGCCACCTGCTTTTGGGGATCACGAGCCCTCTGGGAAGACACCCTTTATGAGCCTCTGTAGGGCTCAAATTTCCTAGCACTAGCATTTATTACTTCCACAATCACACAAAATGTGTTAAGATCTTGTAAAACTGGTAGAATAAGTGGTGTGTGATTCATTTTTACCTGATAGGTGTCATTTTTCCTGGAGGTCCTTTTTCCATGACATTGGAGAGACATTAAATTATTGCAGTAAACTACAAGAGGAAAGACTCTTCATGCTTTCACACTTCATAACCAGGCAAGAGAACCTGAACTAATAAATACACAGATCCCTGGAGTACGTATATGTCAAAACCTAACGCTGAAAATCTGTGCAGTTTTGCTTGGTAAATGTTATCTTAAAAAAAAAAAGGAAACAAATACTTAAGGCTTATTTTTTATACACACAGATGAAATGCTTAGTGTTGAAAAGTGTACTGCTGTGTGCAACTTCCACATGCATAAATAATTCAGATTAACAGATGAATAAATATGCAATGAAGCAAACACAGCAAAATGTTAATGAGTTTAGAATTTAGATAATGGAAATATGGGTATTCATCTTGCACCCTCTCAACTTTTCAGTATGGCCCCAACTTTTTTTTTCTTCTTTTATGGAGACAAGATCTCATTATGTAGTTCAAGCTGGCTCTGAACGCACTATGTGGCCCAGGCTGGCCTCAAACTCACAGCAATCCTCCTACCTCAGCCTCCCAAGTAGGGAATTATAGGCATGAGCCACAAAGCTGATGGAAAATTTTAAAAATAAAGTGTTGAGAGGAAAGAATACAGGTATTATGACATATGAAAATTGATAATACAAAGTAATGTGGTTCATTACAATTGTTTTACTGATTCAAACTTTAGTCTAAACAAATGTCTTACTAAGTTAAATGTCTGGATAGTCAAGGAGTAACAAAATAATTACTTAAACCTAATACTTACATTATGACTGTGACAAAAGCCAATTCCATTAATAATCTGAAATAAATATTTTTGGACTACTTGGTAGTCTAGTCCATTTGGAAAGAGTTCCAAGTCATCAAGAATTGTGTGGTCAACAAATTCAAAGACCAGGTACCATCTTTTTTTCTTCTTACACACTTCCAACAGATTCACCAAATTCTCATGCCTCAGTTGCTGTTATAAAAAAATGCAAAACAAGTTTTTATAAGAATAAATTATTAACAATTACAATCTAAGGGCGGGGGACTGAGCTCAGTGGTTCTGTGGCCTGCCTCACAAGCACAAATACCCAAGTTCGATCCCCCGTACCAAAAACAAACAAACAAAAAACAATTACAATCTAAAATAGATTGTAGCATAAGTCAAATGTATAGATAAAATGCATAAACTGTATATTTTTAAAGTATATTCTGGTTTTTAAATACAATCAAAAGGCCAGAAAAAAGAAAAAAAAAAAGGCCAAACTGCTCCTTTCTCCTCTCAGAGAATGCAATAAAGCCAATGAGGAAGAGAAGCCCACCTCTATCCTTGATGAAATGGCAGGGACCTGAGCCCCTCCCGACAGCAAATGGGGTGGAAGCCCATGCAGCCGGGCACATGAGCTTGCAGGCCTGCAGATGTGGCCCCGCCTGGAAGGGACACACAGGGCATGCTGTCACGGGCGTAGTGCTCACAGACACCACGTGGAAAGATTTCTGGAGCTGAGGGCCCTGAGGGACAGCGGGGAGGGGGCTAAACAAGCAGCCACACAGAGACCCCTGGCCGAAATCACCATTGGAGCACATACAAACAGATCATCAGAAACAGAAACAAACCCGCAACTACAGTCTCAGAGAATTCAGCCCCACCCACCAGCATCCTGAGGGACATCACAGTGAGCCTGCTAGCTTGGGACAAAATCGTGGTCTCCACCCAGGTGACCCTCCCCCCATCAGCTGGCCCCAGAAGGACCACTGTAGTATAAGACAAGAAGCAATACAGAACCAGTCCAGATCCACTCAAAGGTACTGTAAGAAACAAGAAGGAACACAAATAGAGATCAACATTCACAGAAAAGAAAAGACAGAAAACATGTTGCCACTTTTGAAAGGAATATAGATGTGGTGACCCATAGACAAGATAGCCAACCCAACTGTCATTTAAGTAAAAGATAACAGAAAAAATTCTGAATGTGAGCAGTGAATCCATTTAATACAGGACTGAATCTTATGCAAATGTGGGCAGCATGATCATAAAATAGAAAATGAATGTTACAAGCTCAACAATACACAAAGGACATTACTAAAAATGTAGAAAATGAAGAGAGATACAAACAAGAGCTAGGCAGGGTGGTACACACCTATAATGCCACCACGTGGAGGCTGAGGCAGAGGGTTTCGGTGAGTTTGAGGCCAGCCTGGGCTATATAGTGAGTTCAAGGCTGCCTGAACTACACAGTAAGACCCTGTCTCAAAAAAAAGTATATGTACTCTGATTTCCTTGTCAATGTTTCTGAATGATAATGTTTGATCTGAAAATTTGGATTACAAGGTCCGATTATATTCATAAGTTTATTGATAAACACTAACATAAGATATATTCTAGTATCAGATTAAGATGTACTGGAGAGAGGAGGAACTGCATACTGCTAACAGTATAAAGGTAACCAACTATAAAAATAAAACCTTTTCAAATGACCAGAGGAAACACAATATAAAATAAGGAATTCAAAGGTCATAAAAAATATTTTAAAGGCACAAAACAATGTGACATTATCTGTACCAACACTGACACAGTGCAGACTCTGCCCCAGGCATTGTTCTAAGCAGTGACCCGGCCAGTGCGGCATCACAGCAGCACGGTGCCGCACACTAACACATCCCGCCTGAGAGCTCTGACTTTTCTAACTCAGACAAACATTTATCACTAAAAAGGGGGTAACAAGTATAAATGGTTGTCAGCATTAAAGAAGCATGCTTTTGCCAGAATTAGCACTTCTGATTTCAATGTTATTGTCACAAACCCACCTGCTACTGTCTGATGATAGCAATACATCCCCTGACACAGCTAAGAGAAGGAGCTAAATACAGACATTAACTTATGACCAGCAAGCAGCTGTGTGGCCTTTTCTCACCCACAAGAAGGTGCCGGAGTGTGTGCCAGATCCACATCAAAACTCAGACTGACTGCACTATAGCTCTCAGGGTGGAGGCCCGAGGAAGGTTTTGGAGCTGCCTTATTTTTATTTTTTTATTTTTTGGTACCAGGGATCGAACTCGGGTCCTTGGGCTTGAGCAGCAGGCGGCAAAACCACTGAGCTAAATCCCTGGCGAGCTGCCTTATTTTTAGAGAAAAGAAGAAAATATATCCTTTTTCTTAAAGAGATGTAAAAAATATAGTTTTCCATTCCAAAAGTTCAAAGATTTAGCCAGGCATGGTGGCGCATACCTGTAATCCCAGGACTCGGGAGGCTGAGATGGGAGGATCGCTCTCAGTTCAAAGTCAGCCCATAGGGGGTTCAAGGCCAGCCTGAACTGTACAGCAAGACCCTGTCTCAAAAAACTCCCCCAAAAGTTCAAGATTTAAAACCTAATTTGAAATACAAGATCATAGGAAAAGCTACTAATAATCACAGTTCATTAATAAAACAAACACTTTTTCATTTCACAAGTCTTATATCCTGATGGAACAAATCTCTAATAAATTGTTTTAGCAAATGAAGAAAATGACATTATGTCAATTGTTTGATTAATACTAAGTGCATTTCTAATAGGATAAAACATTCCTTTCTCTCTTTTTTTGAGTATTGAGTATTTTTTGAGTATTGAGTATTTTTTTTGAGTATTTTGAGTATTCAATTTGAGAATTGAACCATGACCTTTGCACTGAGCTATGTCCCCAGTCCTTTTTCAACTTTTTGAGACAATATCTTGCTACATCACTATGTTGCCTGGGTTAGGCTCAAACTTGTGATCTTCCTGTGTCAGCCTCCCAGAGTAGAAAACCTTTTATTCTTCATAAAAAAATCCAGACTACTGTATCAGAAAATGTCCCTTTCCCTACCACACATAAAGTCCTCCTTGCTGCTCTGTCCTGCAATCATTAAAACAGACTCTCAGTTCAGCAGGCCCTGTCTTTGTACTGTATCTATATATTTTTTTGGAACTGGGGATCGAACTCGGGTCCTTGTGCTTGCGTAGCAAGCAGGGAAACCACTGAGCTAAATCCCTGGCCCTTTATCTATAGTTTTTAAAGCAGCCCACCTCCTCTGGTGTTGACAGACTAAACTACTCCAACAGGGAATTCTTATTAAGTGGAAGGAATTTTTTAAAAATCTACTGAAACATATAAAAAGCTCAGAAGGGGGCCGGGAATTTAGCTCAGTGGTTCTGCCACCCGCCCTGAGAATGCAAGGAACCGAGTTCAATCCCCGGTACCAAACAATAAAAAAACTAAAAAAAAGCTCAGAAGAGAGTGAAGATTCCTGGGCCAAAGTCAAGAACAGAAAGTCCAGAGTGTCAGTCTCAGGGCTCAAAGCTGATTTTGCCAGGAAGCAATAGATGTGGAACTGAGCTTTGTGACCCTGTGGGGTTAAAAGGCAAAAGTTATCTCCAAAAGTCACTAAGAGGAGACCTTGGGAAAACCACCTCCAGTGAAGCTGGACCCTAAAAGTGACACTTAAGTATATCTGGGCAAAAATGAACCCGGCATGGCCAGATGGCACCCTTGTAGTGGCTCAGGGTTCCAATCTCGGATGCGGGTTAACATGTAGACTGGGAGCTCTGGGCACCTGGCCGAAGCAGTATCATCTCTGGAGGCAGACAGCTTTACCTGCACCTCAAAAGGTTTCCACAAAGAAATCTTCAAAGGTGACATACAAAACAAAAGGATAGTGAGAAACATAAAAGAACAAGACATCATAAGCAAGAACTCAAGAACTGTGAACCTGGTAAGTCCTGGACTGGCAGAGTGTTTGCATCAGAGAGAAACTAGAATGGTGTAAATTTTAATATAATTAAGTGTTAACTAACAAAGGTAGTTAATTACTAAAAGGTGTAAAAGATGACTCAGGGATTTTTTTTTTTTTAGTGGTATTGAAGATTGAACCCAGGGGTGCTCCATTACTGAATTACACCCCTGGTCCTTTGTAAATTTTTAATTTTGAGATAATTTCTCATTAAGTTCCCCAGGTTAGCCTTGAACTTCTAATCCTCCTGCCCCAGCCACCTGAGTAGCTGAAATGACAGGCATGCACCACCACACCTGGCTATGGGAAATGCAAAAACAGCAAATACAGAGCAGCTACTATCAGTATTTTTACTGGTGAAGTGAAGTGCACAAGAAGGAAATAATAACTTAGAAGCATCCCCAGCCACCATTTGGCTTTCACTGGGAAGGGGATGGTGGTCACAATAAATTAATTACTGGCACAGTGCCCTGGAACACAAAAAAAGAAAATAGAAACCTCTCTGGAGGAAGTTATTGTTAAATGATTACTAAACAAATCTTTCAAACATAGCGTCCAGCAAAGCAAGCATACAAAGAAATAAAACAGTATAAGAAACATCAGAAACTGCAGACAATCAAAACAATGAATGACTTCATATGTTAGAATTATCAGACATAGATTACTGTACTTTTAAGAAAAAGCCAACCTCAAAAAGTCTAGGAAATATTATCATAAAAAGTAACACAGCGGGGCCTGGGACATAGCTCAGTGCCACCACACCTGCCTGGCAAGCACAAGGTCCTGAGTTCGATCCTTGGTACCGAAAAAAGAAAAGGTAACACAACAGCTTCTGGACCCAAATAAAAATTCTAGAATGGAGAAGTACAGTAATTTCCATTTATAGTAACAGCAGATGAGAATTTAAAGGAATCTTCCACAGAGTACAGGCAGAAAACCTGAACAATATGCAAAACAACTACCTTCAGGGACCGGAGAGAGAAGAACAGACTATGATCTGGGAAAGACAAACCCAAGGAAGGAGCCAGACAGCTAAGGCCATCTTCACTTCAGTCCAGGAAATGCCAAATCAGAAAGGGACCACAAGGCCACACAGCTCTTGATGGTCTTATGGTGTCCAAGGGCCATCGAGGCAGGAAGATGGAGGAAAGTAATGATGACATTCCCTTAGGGATCGGCCTAAAAGTCCTCAGTCATGAGATGCATGCCTGTAATCCCAGCACTCAGGAGGCTGAGGCAGAAAAAGCTGGAGTTTGAGGCCAGACTGGGCTACAAAATAAGACCCTTTCTCAAAAAAAAAAAAAAAAAAGCTTCATAGGAGTACTGTTGAGGCGGAAGCAGTGTCTAGAGATTCAGACTATATTTACAATTCTGGAAAATTAATGAAAGCATATTAAGATTTGATAAAAACAATAGAAAAAGTTTTTAAATACATAGGAGATACAGATTACACAGTCATTGGATATATAAGTAAATTATGTAAATAGTAAAATGGAGAATTTGGGTAGAAAATTGGAAAATATAAGAATCAAATGGGGCCAGGGATTTAGCAAAGTGGTTCCTCTGCCTGCCTCGCAAGCACAAGGACCCAAGTTCAATCTCAGGTACAAAAAAAAAAAAAAAAAAAAAGAATCAAATGGAAAATCTAGAGTTGAAAAATACAGTATCTTTAGTCAGAAATCAGCAATTGAAGCCAGGCACAGGGAAGCATGCCTGTGATCCCAGCATGAGACAGGCTGTGAGGCAGGAGGACTGCCCCAAGTTTGAGGCTGCCCTGGGCTACATAGTAAGTTCAAGGCCAGCCTAAACTACATAGCAAGAGCTGTCTCAAAAAATAAAATAAATAAATACAATATATTTAACTATAAAGCAATGGTTGGAGCCAGGCATAGGGGAGCACACTTCTGAGCCTAGCACATGGGAGGCTGAGGCAGGAGGATCTCATGAGTTCAAAGCCAGCCTGAGCTACGTATCAAGTTCCAGGCCAACCTAGACTAGTGAAACCCTGCAAGAAAGGAAGGAACAAAGGAAGGAAGGACAAAGGAACAAAGGAAGAAAGGACAGAAGGAAGGAAAGAAGGAAGGGAGAAAGGACAAAAGACTGAACTCAGTGCTTGGGCTGGGTAGAAATGAGCTTACCATGAGCAAGGCCCTGGCTTTGATCCCCAGTCCCTCTCCCTCAAAAAAAATCAATCAGTGAATCAGTGCTTGAAGTTACCAGTAGATTAGGGTTGGTTGAAACAGTACTAAAGTGGAGGACAAGTCAGAAAAAAATCTAGAACAGCATATGCAAATGAAAAGAGGAAAAACCCAGAAGAGATCAAGAGGCTTCTAGTAAGATCCACACATGAAAGTACATTCTCCAAGGGAGAGGAGAGAAAGGGGACAGTTGGGACTGTGAAGCAAAACAGCTACGCATTTCTTAAGAATGGCAACAGACATTGTCTTACAGATGCAAGAGCCACAAAACCAAAGCAAAGTAAACACAATGACTTCAAAACTGCATGCAGTATTAGAAAACTGCTAAAAATCAGCCAAAGAGAAAACCTTAAAAACACCCAGAATAAAAAAGGATATTAACATGTTCCCACCAGTAGTACGTGCATGACTGTCCCATCAGGTGGTTTTGTATTGATTTTATTAATAAAATGACTGATAAAAGTGATTAGATCAGGGCCGGGGATTTATCTCAGTGGCTCTGCCACCTGCCTCGCAAGCACAAGGCTCTGAGTTCAATCCCCGGTACCAAAAAAATAAAAGTGATTAGATCTGTTTGAACCACCAGTGGTACAATCCACCCAATGGGACAATCATGCATGTACCACCAGTGGTCCAAGCTGCCCAGCAGCAAGACATACGAATTCCAGTCCACTGTGAACATGTTAAGAAGCACAGTAAGCTGGCCATGTTGCTACACACCTCTAGTTTCAGCTGTTCCAGAGGCTTAGACTGGAAGATCACTTGAGGTCTGGAGTTTGAGGCTAGTCTGGACAACATATTAAAACAAAATGGGCATGGTGGTACACACCTGCAACCAGGACTTTGGAGGCTGAGACAGGAGGATCTCAAGTTCTAGGCCAGTCTGGGCTACACAGCAAGTTCAAGGCCAGATTAGACTACATTGCAAGACCTTGTCTCAAAAAATAAAATGAACAGACCCACAACAAAAAATGTAAGACTGATAGCTGACTCTTCAACACAAGCAATGGAGCCAGTGGACTCATGAATATACTGAATCCCCAACTCAAGAGTTCTACATCCTGTGGACACAGTATTTTAAACACAAAGCAGAATAAAAATTCTCATTTACAGAAACAGCATTCCTTACCAGCAGACTTGCTTAAAAAAAAAAAAAAAAAGATATACATTAAACCCATAGATAGAAGCTAAGACATGGAGAGAAGACTGAAGAGCAAATGGAAAAGATATATCCTAATAAATACTGTGAATAATTTGGGGAGAGATTTAACTATATAAAGAGTTAAAATACATGCCAGCAATGAAACAGAAATCCACAGTGGGACTAAGAGACAAGAGGACAGAGTAAATGGTGTTAGCATTTCTAGGACTCTTACATTGTAGAAGGGCCCATTTGGGAACTAAAGGAACACTATGAAATCTCATATAATCTCTGAAAGACTGCTAAAAGAATACAGAGTTTTTTAAAAAATCATAAAATATAGAAAGGAACCAGGAAGATGATAAACATAAATCCAAATATATGAATAAGTCCTGTATATTAACTGTAAGTAAAAAAAAACTCCAGCTGAAACACAGAGGCTGCCAGACTGGACAGAACCGAAGAGCCAGCTGTGTCTGCTCACAGAGATGCATTTCACGTCTAAGAACACAAAGGCCTAACAGGAGAAAAGGGTCAATGTGTATCTTAAGAGAAGAAGACCGAAAAACCAAGAGGTGATATAATGTTTGTGGAGAAGATACAATAGTGTAAAGAAATCGGTTCTCCCCATGCTGATCTACATATTCAAAAAATTTCTACAGTTTTTGTGGAAATTAATAAACTGACTCTAAAATGCATATGGAAATGCAAAGGAACAAAAATTACCAAGACAATTTTGCAGAAGAAAGACAAAACGAGAGGATTCATACTATCAGATATAAAAACTTATGAAGTAGAATAAATATAACTATGGGATAGTGCCATGAATTTAGACAAATACAGCAATAGAACAGAATATAGAGTAGAAAAACTATACCTCCCTATAAGAACATTTAGCAAAAGGGCCATTCAGAACAATGGAGGAAAGATGTTATTTTTAATAAAAATTTCTTAGACAACTAGACATCCATAAGGAAAACAACCCCATAAGATTTGACTGTGCCATACACCATAATTAAGATCAATTCCAGCCAGGTGTGGTGGTGCATGCCTGTAATCCCAGTACTTGGGAGGCTGAGGCAAGAGGATCATCACAATTTCAAGGTCAGCCTGGGCTACATAATGAGCTCAGTGCCAGCCTGAACTACATAGCAAGGCCTTATCTTAAACCCTCCCCGCAAAAAAAGAATTTAGAAAATTTGAACCACACAATTAACAAACATGACCTAAGGGCCATCCATAGAATATTTCTGAGGAATACAAGGAATTTTTTTGTTTTTGGTACCAGGGATTGAACTCAGGACCTTGCACTTGCAAGACAGGCGCAGTGCCTCTGAGCTAATTCACAAGGAATTTTTTTAGTTGACAATATTCTCTACCAAACATCAAGAAATTTCAAAGAAATACATTCTTATATAGTATTTATTCAGATCACAAGGCAGCTGTGTCATAAATAACCAGGGGAAGAAAGCCCAGAAATTTTCAACTTTTGAAAATTAAGAAATACACTTTTTTCAAAAGAAACTTTTAAATAACTCAGATCAAGGAAACTATCATGAAAATGAGAAAATATTTTGAACTAATAATCAAATTTCTGAGATACATACCAAACTGTTTCTAGAGAGAATGTATATCTTTAAGTGCATGTATTAGAAAAGGGGCGATGCAAATGGAAGAAGGGAGCATCTAGCTCAACAAGTTAGGAAAAAGAGCGGCAAAATAAACCAGAATAAGCAGGAGAAATGAAATAAAAAACAAAAATCACACAATAGAGAAGATAACAAAGTGGCCCTTGGCTGGCTCTGGGGAGCCTTTATTTCATTTCCAGGACTGGTGTGAAGGTTTATGGTGCAAGAAGCACCTGCTTGCCCTCTAGGGGTAAGGAACCATGGAAAGTTCCAGGTTGAGTCTCTGACAGGTTTCCTGAGACAATCTCCACACGCCTCATCACACTGCTTGCTGGAGAAAACAGTGCACCCTGAGTGGCCCCACTGGACGCACAGCCAGGAAGCCATTGACCCTGTACCTCTTCCCTGGGCCGACTGTTTCACACCTCTCCCTGGGAGGAGTCACAGCCATGGATGCAGATGCAGCTATGCGCCAGCTGTGCACTGAGGACTGAGCGACCCGAGGTTAAGTGACCCTGGTGTCCTTGGGCCCCCAATACAGATAAGAGATAGATGACTGATGGGCAGGCAGACAGAAAAAACAACAAAACAACAAATACTTTAAAAATAACTTTTACATCCATGAAATTTTTAAATTCAAGAAATTTTTCTTTCCAGAAAAGAAATTCATATCTTAAAATTTAATTATAAGGAAAAACAAATACAAAGACATGATAATTTTTTTCTACAACTGTAAAGCTAATCTTGATCGAGAAACAGCTCATTTACTCACCTTCAGTAACTTGATCTCTCGCATGGCAATTTTTTTAACCATTTTGTCATTGTCACTTTCTAAGAACTTCTTGATGGCCACAATCCTTCCACTCTCTTTATCCCTACACTTCATCACCATTCCGTAGCTTCCTTCTCCAACCAATCCTAGGTTCTCATATTTTTCCATTTTAATTTAAAAGCAGTAGGAATTTTTGTTGCTGTGAAAATCAAAATACAGTCACCAATGTTGAGTTTGTTTCCTCCATTCTCCCAGCAAATCAGTTCTTCCTCTTGTTCCATCTTAGAGCAGTGAATGTTGGTGGCTATCAGTACCAACTCACAATTCTTTACAACTAAGCTATGCTTGCAAAATAATCACAAACATCTCTTGAAAGACAAGGAAAAGGAACTGAACTCATTAAATTTAAACTACATTAACAAAATTCAATTTAGTTTAGATAAAGCAATACTAGTTCAGCTTACTCTCTCTAAAAAAGTACAATTCTTTTCCACTCAAAGGTGAAAAGGCACAATGGAATTTCATTTTAATGAAGGCCAAAACTTTTTTTTTAATCAGATTTTAAAAATCACAGTTGAGAATCTTTATGTACTACCTAATTAACCAGAAAAAAATATGATCACAAAATAATCATTTACCAAACTAATACTGAATCTTTCATACATTTTTCTTTAACTTTCTTACAATAGTAGTTACCACTTGTAGTTACAAAATAAAGCCAGTAAGGGTCATTCGAGAGATGCAAATGAAAACAATGCTGAGATTCCACTTCACTCCAGAAAGAATGGCTGCTATCATGAAATCAACCAATAACAAATGCTGGCGGGGCTGTGGGGAAAGAGGAACCCTGCTCCACTGCTGGTGGGAGTGTAGACTGGTGCAACCACTGTGGAAATCAGTATGGAGATACCTCAAAGAACTAGGACTGGAAGTCTCATTTGACCCCACTATTCCACTGCTGGGGATCTTCCCCAAAGAATTAAAAGAATCATACCACAGTGATATATGTGCACCCATGTTCATAGCAGCACAGTTTGTGACAGCTAAAACTTGGAAACAGCCCAAATGCCCATCAACTGGAGACTGGATAAAGAAAATGTGTTTTTTTTAATAAAATGGAGTACTACTCAGCCATAAAAAATGAGAAATTAGAGACATTTATAGCTAAGTGGATGCACATTGAGGCAATACTCTTAAGGGAAATAAATAGGATACACATGTATAAATACCAAATAGTTTCTCTGGTGTGAGAAACTGAAAGTGTAAATAATAACTAAAATGATTAATAGGTAATGTGAAATTGGAAGAAAAGGGGCAAAGGGGAAGGAAGTGGGAGGGCTAGGGGAAAGGATAGAAGGGAATGGGATTAATATGAGAAAATGGAAAAATAGGAACAAAATCTTTGTAAATAGGGAGGACTGGAGGGGTTGAAGGGAGGGCTGGGCAAGGGTGAAAAACAAGAACCAAGAGAGACTATGTAAAGGTGCAAATTTCCAATGATGAATGTCATTATATTGTATACCTAAAATGTACCAATGATTAGAATGAATAATTGACAATGCAAAATGGGAAGAAAAGTTCCAAAGGGGTAGGGGTAGGGGTAGTGGGAGGGTCAGGGAAAGGAAAAATGCTGAGAAATGGAAAAAATGGAAATAAAGTCTTTGTAAATAGGGAAGGGTGGAGGGCGTGAAGGGAGGGCTAGGAATGGGGAAAAAATAAGAACCAAGATGCATTATGTAAAGGTACAATTCCCAATGAGAAATGTAATTGTGTTGTATACCTAAAACGTACCAATAAAAATGTTGAGGAAAAAAACCAAAAAACAGTAAGATCACAGTATATAAGCAGAATTTTTAAGGAAACTAAATATAAGTACCACCAATACAATATTTCAAAAATCCTGCTGATTACTCACCATAAGTCTAATAATTTGAATTTTGTGGTGAGAATTCTTTTATATCTTTTATATGACATTCATTCTTTTATATGCCATTTTCTGAATAAAGTCCATCATAATGGACTCTTTCCTGTTTTACCAGTGATTGGTGAAGGTCCAGCTACCATATCATGCACTACATTTAATCATATTTTTAAGTATACATTTAAGCATGTTTAGGTACAGAAAAATTATTCCAAAGCTAGGATGGGGATGTAGCTCAGTGGTAGAGTGTATGCTTAGCATGTGTGAAACCCTGAAGCTCAATCCCACCAACAAGCACAAAAAATATTTCAGTCCAAATACAGATAGGTTTTTTCATGTTTGGTTGCCATGATACATAAAAGCTATAAGCTACAACTTCAAAGTTAAATTTATTTTTAGAATTCTGATTTTAAAATTAAGTTTCAGAAACCATGTGTGGTGACAGGCCTGTAATCTCAGCACTCTGGGAGGCTGAAGCAGGATCACAAGTTGGAGACCAGCAGGGCAATTTAGCGAGACCCTGCCTCAAAATCAAAACTTAAAAAAGGGTTGAGGATGTAGGTCGGGGTGAAGGCCCCGGGTCCCAGCCCCAATTCTGGGGGTGGGGCTGGGAGGGGGTTTAACTGGTGTCCTCAGCCTGTAAAAAACGTAAAGTGAGAAGAGTAACAACGACCTTCAGCGTGCCAAGGGCACTCAGCGCAGATCACAGCGGACCTGACCCAAGCCCAGCGCTCCGAGTCTATTCCTACCTGTGCCCTGGTGTACACCGCTTCCCGCGGCCCCGTCACGCCTCCTCCTGGTGGCGGCCCGCAGAGCCTGGTCCTGGAACTGCCCCTGCTCCCGGGGTGACACGCATGAGAGGCTGAGATGCTGTCTGTGAGGGGGACCGAGACCTCTTCAGAGGGACACTGAGGCAAAGCCCGACTGTCACTTACGGTTTCCTCAGTCACCCGGCGAGGAGCGATCCGACAGTTCCTGACTCGGCAGCAGTCGCGGGGCGCGGCCACGCATGTCGCAGGGGCTCGGCAGACGCCGCCTATGGGCCCCGTGGCGGCCGGGCTGTGACCCCCGCGGACGCAGTGCGGGACTGGGCCAAGGCGCAGAGGGTCCCGCCCGCTGCAACACACTCTCTGGGGACCGCGGGCCACATCCTGCCGTCGCCACAGCAACGCCCCGCCCGTCCCCGCACGGGCGCAGTCCTGAGCGGCGGTCCCAAGGCAAGAGCGTGCGCGGTGCCGCCGGCGGGGACGCCAGTGAGGACGCGGCGGAATTAGGGGACCGGGCGTGATTAAGAGACCCGGAGCTTGACGCCCACTTAGTGCCAGAAGCCACCCCCACTCGCCCGGGCGTGGCCAGCCTCAGGGTGGGTTCCCGCCGGCCACACCCCTCTTCTTGATTGGTTGCGCTCTGTTGCCAGGCTGGCGGATTGGCTCGACCCCAAGACCTCCCGCCTCTCACCTGGGGCTCGGCGGGCGCGCAGGCGCAGTCTCTGCACACCTGCGACCTCCTTGGTGGCTGGGGGGCTCCGAGCGCCGGGGCTAGGGGCGTGGCCACGGAACGCCCTCAGGGGCAGGGCGCGGTGGGCCAGGGGGCGTGGCCTCCATAGGCAAGTACAGGCCCGACGGAGTGCAGACGGGGTGGCAGCACCTGAGCAGCGGGAGTGATCGAGGGACCTCCGGGTGGAGATCAGGACGGGAGGGCCGCCCAGGGATGGAGGAATTGGGGCTGCGATGGTGAGAACTCGCCTGTGTCTTCTACCAGGCCAGGGTCCCGCCTGTGCTTAAGTCCAAGAAACAGGGCTTCCTTCACTTTCACGGAATTGGAGCCCCTAAGGCCAGCTATTTACACCTTCGTGAAAACTGTACTTTCTATTGTAAGACCGTGTGTCTCACCAAACGCCCGAGGAGCTGACTACAGCGAAGATCACCTGATCACCCGGGAGGGAACACACCGGACAAGTTGTAAAACAGATCTTTATTAGTCTGGCCAGACAGCACTCTTCAAGCACCAAGCTTAGAGAGGCAAGAAGCTCAGAGCCTGAGGTCCTTTTATAGGAGATGCTAGGGGGAAGTTGGCAAGCAGAAATACAGAAGCGAAACCCAGAAGGAACTTTTACAGATTGTTCTTAAGATAACATATTCAGATATGGAGTTGGGCAAGCATGATGGAACACTATGCACACAACAGACCTTCCAGGCACAACAACAAGCACATCCCTGGAACTCAATGTCTACCTGGTGATCCATAACAGAAGCAGGCAAGTTGGGGCCCTATTACAAAATGGAGTAACTATTGTTCAGTCTCACATTCCCCACTGATTTTTCCTGTGGCTGTGTAATCTTATACAGAATTATCTTGATATTTTTGTCTCTATCTTTGCTCTTTTTCATCTAGCTCACTTAAAGGATGATATTTGGCCCGTTGATTTAAAATCATTAAGCGAACAGATCCTACCTGGGCCCTTACATAGGCCATAAGCTTATTAATAATGTATGGGCCGAAAGTCAAATCTAGTAACAAGATTAACAGGGGCCCAGCAAGGGCAGAAACAAGGGTAATCATCCAGGGAGACCAGTTAAATATTGACTGGAACCATCCCTTCTGTTTTATCAATCTATTATAATTTTCTTGTAGGTGTTTATTTACAGTGGCTAGGGTTTCTCTTATTATTCCAGATTTATTAGCATAATAGCAACATTGCTCTCCTAGGGCTGCACATAGCCCTCCCTCTTTCATAAACCCGAGGTCAAGTCCTCAGCGGTTTTGAAGGACCATCTCAGCCAGAGAATCAACCTATTTTTCCAAATGAGACACTGACTCGGTAAGTAGGCCTAAGTCTATTTTTACCTGTTGGGCAAGGGTCTTGAAATTGGAGTCTTGCAGTCCTATTGCTGTTGCACCCAGAGCCGCTGATCCTGCAATGCCCGCTGCAGTTAACACAGGAATCAATGCTGGGTGGCGCTTTTTTCGGGTGTGTGTTCTCTTAGGTAGGTATTTTCAACTCTGGTCTTCTCCATATATAGTGACTTGGGGTAAAATGTGGACCATTACACATACCTCAAGTTTCTGATTGAGGACTGTCATGGATAAACAGGGAGTTATATCATTTGTACATGCCCACTATGCATTGTTTCCAGCTTTTAGATATTTTTCATTACTGGCGGTGGGTGTCTGATAAGAGCATATACTGTCCAGATAAGAAGGTGTAACACTTGGATTTTTAACACATAACCCTTTTCTTTTATATCCCCAATTGACAACCTCGATTGTTTCCAAACACACTCATTCTGGTCAGCTTCTGAGAAGGTGCCGTTTACTGCCAACCCTACATAATACAGGGGATGTGGACTCAATCACAGCCAACATTCTTGGGTAAGATTGGAGCTAGACTTATTTAACAGGGTATACATGACATCCAGGGTTTTTAGGTATGGTTGGATCGGAGATTCAGGAGCAACTAATGACACATTATAGGTTCCTTTTGCCTTTTCTTTTTCTTGGGGCCTGGAGCCCCTATAGATGTTGCCTACTGGTTTAGGTGGTACTATTACTGGGCTACGCTGGATGAGGAGGTCAGTCATAGGGTCCTTTCCTCCCACATAGAGTGCCACCGTCCAGGATTTGCCTTTTTCCCAATCTTTATATGGATTTTGCCATTGTTTTAAGGTTAGCTTGATGGGATTACATTTTCCTTTGGAACATGAACCACTTGGTGTTTGTCGTTCTAAGGCCAAATATGCAACCCCAATGATGACAGTGGTTTCCTGGTCCCCCATCGCACCTTTTATTTTTTTCTATGGGGCAGGCATAAATATCTATATCTTGGAGGGTTTTTTTTAACTTATCATCTGTTCAACACCTCCCTCCATGGTCCCCTTTAGCCATCTTTCCAGATGAAACTTTACCCTTTGATCCAGCCCCTCCACCACTAATGATTGGAAGCCCCAGAGCACACAGGTCTATAATAAAATGGGGCTGTCTATCAGTAGTAATGGTGGCAATGTGAGCTCCCATTAAGGCATTTTTCAAGGACCAAGTCCAGTTCTGGGGAGTGTGGGTGGACAACACCAGCTGGCATCCAGATCCCCCTTCCATTAGGGCTGGTAAGAACAGTAACCCCAAGAACCCCCATATTGTCCGAACTAGTTTTTGATCAATCTTATCTTGAGGGGGTCCTTTGTGTTCCGGTCGATCTGCCATGTTAACGTCATTTCCTACTAGGGTGCCGCCTTTAAATGGCTGCAGTGGATCCAGGCAGAGTGTCCAGCTACCTTCACGGCTGAGGGAGTCACCAGGGTGATGGGAAATGGTCCCTTCCAGAGTGGTTCTAGGGTCTTGGAGTCAAACCTGCAAATGAAAACCAAATCTCCCAGCTTATAGGGTAAGGGTTGCAAAGGTTTTTCACTGGGACCAGGCATAGTTTTTCTCAGCTTATCATGTAGCTCTGATTGAAGCTGATGGACTGCTTTTAGGGACTTAAGGAATTGGAGGTTGGAAAGTTTTTCCTTCAACTCCAAATCAACCAGAGGGATGATCAGGGGAGATCAGCCATAAATGATCTGGAAGGGTGACAGATTTAGGGGCAGCTTAGGGGTACACTGGGTACAAAGGAGGGCAAAGGGGAGAAGTTCTACCCAACCTTGTTCAGTCTCCAGGCATAATTTAGTTAGAACCTCTTTTAAGGTTTGATTTGCTCTTTTTACTTGTCCTGAACTCTGAGGCCTATGAGCACAATGCAAATTCCATTTTATCCCTAAAGCTTTACTGATGAATTGAGATAATTTAGCCATAAAGGCTGGGCCATTGTCAGACCCCAGGGCTAAGGGCAAGCCAAAACGAGGAATTATTTCTGTCAAGAGGCTTTTGACAGTTACCTCAGCTGTCTCTCTCTTAGTAGGAAAGGCTTCTATCCATCTTGAAAAAGTATCTACAAAGACTAGTAAGTACTTGTATCCATACGTGCTGGGTTTCATTTTGGTAAAATCCAATTCCCAATGTTCTCCTGGAGTTAATCCTCTATGTCTGACCCTGGGGGATCTGGTCACCTGGTTTGCATTTACCTTGATACAGGTGGGGCATCATCTCACTAGGTCTTCAGCCTTTTGTGCCATTCCCTTGCTGATGAAATGGGGTCACAGAGCGGCCATCATTTTTTTCTCACCAAGGTGGGTGGACCCATGCAGTTCTTGTAGCAGTGTGTCTGCTACAGTGACTGGGAGCACCACTTTTTCATCCTTGGTCGTCCACCATCCATGTTTACCTTGGGTCCACCGCTTTTTGGCCATTTCCACCGTTTCTTCATCTGTGTACTCTGGTTTCTCTGGCAGCACTGGTGTGGGGAGCAGAACCATCTGTTTCTCCACTGATTTTTGGGCAGCCTGTTTCACTGCCAGATCAGCTGCATTATTACCAATCACCTCCGGGCTAGCCCCCTTTTGATGCCCACGGACATGGATGATAGCAACCTCTCGGGCAGCCAAATGGCTTGTAACAATGTCAATATCTCAGTTTTATTTTTATGGGCATCTGTTAGTTGGACTCTGGGAGTAAAGTAGCTGGGTTGAGGCTAGCAGTGGTGGCAAACTTGATGTGCAGCTGCTCCAATAGGAGTCCTTGGTATTGCAACAATCTGGCATTAGATAACCACTTGCTAGGGGAGCTGTTTCCATGGTCCCAAAGGCTGAGCTTGTCAGCCCCTTGGGTTATACACAGACTGACCATTCAAGGGGTGTATCTCCCCCCGTGGTAGTTTTGTGCAGGGGTTTGGCAATTTCAGCAAAGCCAGGGATCCAAATTCTGTAATACCCAGTCGCCCCTAGGAATTCACACACCTGTTTCTTTGAGCTTGGCTCTGGAATCTGGAGAATTCCTGATACCTGTGATTCTGTCAGCCTCCTCTTCCCTTCCTCAAGAATATAGCCCAAGTAGGTTACCTTGGTCTGGCAAAGCTGAGCTTTTTTCCAGGACACCCAATATACCAGGTCTTGGAGAACTTTCAGGAGGCCCTCAATGGCTGCAAGACATTCTTCATTGGTTGAAGTTGCCACTAGGAGGTCATCTACATATTGAAGAATAGTTGCATGGGGAAAAGCTCTCCTTACCTCTTGTAAATCTTTGCTGAGAGCTTCCCCAAACAGAGTGGGAGAGTTCTTGAATCCCTGTGGCAGCCAGGTCCATGTCAGCTGTCCAGTAGTCCCAGTGTCTGGGTCAGTCCATTTGAAGACAAAGAGGGGTTGGCTCACTGGTGCCAGAGGTATGCTGAAAAATGCATCTTTGAGGTCTAGTACTGAATACCACACATGGGC